TATTCCTTAACATTAAGTGCTGGTGCTAAGAGAGCAGGTTCTTGGCCCAGCATGAAACTAGGGCTTCATCTTATAGAGACACAGTGTAAGGAACACATTTGCTGGGAAAATTCCCATAGGAGATTGTCCTGTGTAAGAAGACAGTTTTCAAATAAGGCTCTGGTGCAACTGTGGTTGGTCTTCCACCACGCCGTCCCTTTGTTTCCTAACTGAGCTTTGAGGAAAGGAGTCTGCTAAACAATGTGAAGATAAAAGTCATTGGGAAATTGCTTCCCTTCCAAAGACATGAGATGAGTTCTTACTCTCAGGGGCTTACACTGTTGCTTGATAGGAGAGGCAGACTATGGTTGCTAAAGAGCCCCATTCATTTAAACATGTCACAGAGGGAGCTGCAGAGATAGCTCAGCAGGTAAGAGTGCTGACTGCTCTGGGAGAGTACCCAGGTTCTGTTCCCAGCACCCACATGGCAGCCCAGCATTTCGGGTTGATTTCCAGGGGTTCTGAAGCCCTCTTTTGGCCTCCAATGGTACCAGTCTCACATGTGCACAGACATACATCCATATATATTAAATGAAAAAAATTAAAAGGCTTTTTATTTTATGTGTATTGGTGTTTGCTGCCTGTGTTGTCTGTGCACCATGTGTATGCACATGGCCATGAAAGCCAGAAGAGGGTGTTGGATTCTTGGGAACCCGAGTTACAGACTATTGTGAGCCAGAGCACACTAGGACCAGCCTTGGCATGGAGACCAACCCCAGCAAAGGGTGTTTGGGAAGTGCCGAAAATCAATCCTGGGGTACAGACTGACAGCCTTGTGTTCTGCTCAACAGCTTTCCAGAGCACTCATCAGGACAGCTCAGCTCTTGTAGACCAAAGCCCAGTCTTATCAATTCAATTGTCCTTTTATGGATTCCATGGCCTGTATTCACACATACATATACTCACACACAAATACACATAATTAAAAATGAAACTTTTTTGTTTTGTTTTTCGAGACAGTGTTTGTCTCTATTGCCCAGGCTGTCCTGCAACTTGCTCTGTAGACCAGGCTGGCCTTAAACTCAGATCCACCTGCCTCTGCCTCATGGATGCTGAGATAAAGGCATGTGCCACCACTACCAGGCTTAAACATTACTTTAATAAAGGTAGGGGTGGGGGTTTTAAACCAGGCCTGGAGGTAGGTCTACAATCCCAGATGCTTGTGGGAGGGAGGCAAAAGTTTAACAAAGTCAAGATCAGCCTGAGCTATAGAATGAATTCAAGGCCAGCCTGGGCCACTTAATGAGACCCTGTCTCCAAATGGGGCAATAGAGGGCTTAGGGTGTATTCAGTGGTAGAGAGCTTGTTGAGTGTGAACAGCTCTGGGCCTATTTTCCAAAGGTGCAAAATCACCTTTTTTTGCCTTTTGTTTTTCGAGACATAGTTTCTCTGTGTAGCCCTGGCTGTCCTAGAACTCACTCTGTAGACCAGGCTGGCCTCGAACTCAGAAATCTGCCTGTTTCTGCCTCCCAAGTGCTAGTATTAAAGGCATGCAGCACCACTGCCTGGCCCATCTTAAAATTCTTTTTTTTTTTTTTTTTTTTTTTTAAAGATTTATTTATTTATTATTTATGAATACACTGTAGCTGTCTTCAGACACACCAGAAGAGGGCATCAGATCTCATTACAGATGGTTGTGAGCCACCATGTGGTTGCTGGGATTTGAACTCAGGACCTCTGGAAGTGCAGTCAGTGCTCTTAACCACTGAGCCATCTCTCCAGCCCCCATCTTAAAATTCTTAAAAAAATTTTTTTAGGCTTACCTTGTCTACCATAGTGAGCCCAAGAGCAGCCATGTTATATAGAAATCCACTGTGTAAATAAACAATGAAATTCTATTACACTTTTTTTGTTTAGGGGTACATGTGGAAATGAGAGGACAGACATGAGAGACATCAATAGGTTTAGCAGCAAAACCCACTAGTTGTAAATTTATTTACATTTAGCTTCTTTGATATCATATCTAGTAAGTCATCAATTCACCCAAGATCACTCTTATATTTTATATAAATATTTATATTGTAAGAAGGAACCAAACTGAACCCATTTTGAATAAATCTTCTATTTTGAATAGGGGTCAAATAAAGTTTAAGTTCCCAAAACCTTCTGGGGTAACTGACATTCTGTTTGACAGAAAGAGACATTTTTGTGGGTATCTGACATCCTGGTTGGCAAGTTGAGACATGAATGTTAGGCAAGTCGCATAACCCAGCCAGTGGGAACAGGGTAAGTGTACTACAAAGACAGGTTCCTAAGGAAATCCCCTGTCCCTGATTGATGGAATAACTTGGCACAGATGTTAATAGTTTTGAAGCTCAAAGACTGTAATACTGAGTATAATACATTTTTCTCATCTACCTAAATTGTCAGTTTTTGCTGCCTAATTCATTTTCTTAATAAATACCTTGCTTTGCTGGACTCTTGTGCCTGCTTGGGTTGTTTTGATTTCAGACCCTAACAATATATTTATTCTTCCCAGGTAGTGGTGGTGTTGGTGGCAGCACACACCTTTAATCCCAGCACTCAGGAGAAAAAAGCAGTTGGATCTTTAGTTTAAGGCCATCCTGCTCTTACAGAGGCAAGTTCCAGGACAGCCATGGTTACATAGAGAAGCTCTGTCTTGTAAGAAAGATTTATGGGTTTGGAGAAATAGTTCAGTGGTTAAGAGCTCTGAGTGTTCTTCCAGAGGTCCTGAGTTCAATTCCCAGCAACCACATGGTGGCTCACAGCCATCAGTAATGGCTAATGCCCTCTTCTGGCTGGCCAGTGTACATGTAGATAGAGCACTCAAACAAAACACATAAAGCTTAAAAAAAAAAAAGAAAATAAGTAGTCTTGGAACCTTCATTAGAGCCAGATAGCCAGAAACACTTTATAGACTATAACTTTATTGTTATGCTTATCTTTGTAACAAAACTACAACTTTGATCCTTGTACCTTGTAGTAAGGTTGAGAAGTATTCTAGCTTTGTATTTCTTAAGATTTTGATTATTTGTATTTCCATACGAATTTTATTTCAGCACAAACAACAAAAAGAAAAAAATAGATTGATAAAAATTATATTCAAGCTGGGCAGTGGTAGGGCATGGCTTTAGTCCCAGAGTGAGTTCTGTGAGTTTGCGGTCAGCCTTGTTTACAGAGTTCCAGGACAGCCAGGGCTACAGAGAAAAACTGTCTTAAAAAAAAAAAGTACTCAGTTTATAGATCAATTTTGAATGTCTTCATTTTAATCTGTTATTACAGAGACATGAAAATTTTAATTTAGATCTTTAATTTCAGCAATATTTTATAGTTTTTCAGTGTAGAAATCATCACTGTAGTTTGAGTATGAAATATCTCTCAAAGTCTAAAGGTTTGATTGCCTAAGGTGCTAATAAATTCTTTAGGATTAAAGCACTGTTTTTGTAGTTTTGAGACACGGCCACAGTATATAGCTTTGGCTGGGCTGGAACTCACAGCCATCCTGCCTCTTTGTTCCAAGTACTAAGACACTGGCTACTAAAAGTATGAGCACCTGTGGTGGTTTTGATGAAAATGGCTCCCACAGACTCATATATTTCAATACTTGGGTGATTGGTTGGTGGAACTGTTTGGGAAGGATTGGGAGGTGTGGCTTTAGTGAGGAGGTGTGTCACTGTGAGTGGGCTTTGCAGCTTCAAAAAGCCTAGGTCATTCATTGTTTTCTCTGCCTGTCTGTGGATAAGTATTTAAGTAAACTCTCAACTACTGCACCAGCAACATGCCACTGTATATGTCTACCTGCTGCCATGTTCCCTGCCATAGTAGTCATGACTCTAACCCCCTGGAACTGTGAGCCCCAAATTAAACACTTTCTTTTGTAAGGACCCTTGGTCAGTGTTTTGTCTCCCACCAAACCCAGTTTAATGGTTTTTTGCCCCCCTTCCCTTCTCCTCGATCCCACCCCACCCGCTCTGGCCCAAAGGTTTTTATTTATTTATTATATGTAAGTACTCTCTAGTTGTCTTCAGACACCCCATAAGAGGGCATCAGATCTCATTACAGATGGTTGTGAGCCACCATGTGGTTGCTGGAATTTGAACTCATGACCTCTGGAAGAGCAGTCAGTGCTCTTAACTGCTGAGCCCTAATGTTGGTTTTTTTTTTTGTTTTGTCTTTTAAAGATTTAATTTTTAAAACTATGTGTGTTTGTGTGGGCATATGTATATGAGTGCTGGGTGCCCATGAAGACCAGAAAAGGATGTGGGAACCCCTTTAGCTGGAGTTATAGGCAGTTGTAAGCTGTCTGATTTGGGTCCTTTGCAAGAATAGTACATACCTGCTGGTGATGTGGCAGTGCACACCTCAAACAGAGTTCCAAGACAGCCAGGGCTACAGAGAAAAAGGTAGTACAGGCCCTTAACCACTAGGCCATCATCCAGCCTTTATTTTTTGTTTTCGCTTTTTTTTTTCTTCTGAGAATCAAATCCAGGTCCTTATGCATGATAGGCAAGAGCCCTACCACTGAGCCACACCACCCAGTCCTACAGTTTAAAACATGTGGCTGAGGCAGACAGTGAGCTTCTGATCCTCCTGCCTCTACCTCCTGAGGACTGAACTATAGTTTTATGCTACCACATTCAGCTCGGCTTTATTGATTTATAGTATATATAACTAGAACTGCTGGCTACTAACCTTGTTATCTTACTGTTTCTGGTAGTAAGTTGCAAGGCCTTAAATTCAAAATGTGTTAATAAAGTGAAAAAGAAAAACACTTTATAGCCAGGTATGGTGTTACACATCTAACTCTGCACTCACCTGGGAGGTAGAGGCAGGGGGATCAGGAGTTCAAGGTCATCTTCAGATACAAAATGAGTTTGAGGCCAGTTTGTCCTACATGAGACCCTGCCTCAATAGTTGTGGGAGCGAAGTGGGTGGAGGAGGTGGTACTGACTTCTGACGGCTATCTAAATTCTGGGCAACTTATGTTTAAAAACAATGAAGCTATCACAGTGAAAACAACTTTATTTATGAACATTGTAAGCATCACACAACTTGGAATCTCTACACGGCAGAGCAAAGGTCAAAGGTTATGCTTAGCAGCTTCTCTCCCTCTCTCTTTACTACTTGTAAGACTGAAGTCTGCCAAAGATGGTAATTCTTACAGCAGCAATTCTCAGCTTTGTTTTTGGTGGGACAAGGTGATAGATGAGTGTTGTAAAAGCCTTGTGGCTTTTATTTAACAAGTAGAGAGAGTGGAGATTTTCTAGTTAGGATTATAATGAGTGACAGTTATAAGCTAAAACTTTTTACCTTGATAAATAAGATCTCAATAAGACTAGTAGATTTTCCAGGCTACTGAACAAAAACGTGGCCTTTCCAGCCTCCCTTTTCCTATGAACTTTATCTTATTCTCTCGTGCTAAGATCTGGCTACAGCTTACTGCTAAGGGAAACTCTTGTGCAGAAAAAAATACAGGTTCTCTCCACTGGAACTAGCAGGACCTTGACATGAAAAGCCTCTCTTATTAATCATGAGGACAGGTCTTTTAAAAGACGGAGTTGTACAGGATATTAGGTGAAAACCACTTTAGTTATGAAATTTAAGGTGATAATATATTCTCAGATATAGCACAGAAGAAGAGACACTACACAAATTATGACCAAAAGTTATGATAGAAAGGAGCTTTTGACTGAAGTAGAGAAAGAATATAAACACATACAAAAGGAAAACAGGAGTAAGGGAACAGGCAGAGTCACCGGGCTTGAGTCACACCCAGGTTTCTTCGAGCTTCCAAAAGCTTTTCCTTCCTCTCCTTTCGTTCTTGCTCATGTCTCTTCCGTTGTTCTTCCCTAGGAGGGACAGACATGTGCCATGTTAGGCTCAACCTAGATGCTCTGACAGACACTGTAAACAATGTACTGCTGACCTAACATCTAGTTAAATGGCATCTACGGGGCACTGGACTCTTAAGGGCTCCAATTTGTCAGCATTGTCTGCAAAGGCTACAGTTAGTTAACTAAGCATTCTAAAGTCACACATGGAACAAGAAACCAGGGGACACCTGGGTGACTGAATTCAGTCCTGGTACTTTAAAAAAATTAGTTTTGAATGAGAAGTCTCACTCTTAGAAGTCAAATATATAGCCAAGCTACAGTACTAGTGTCCAGTGACTAGAGACAAGAAAAAAAAAAGTTTGGGTTCATGTGATCTCATAGGTAGGTAGAGAAAGGTCTTGGTGGAAATGAATATAGGGAAGAGGCAGATGATAGGTAACCTTATCAGAGAAGTCCCAGGCCATAAACCTAGACTCCTTTAAGGTCTGTGCTTGGCTTGGGTCTGTGTGGGGCTTCACTCCTTACAATGCCTAGTTTGCTTAGGAGTGAAGTATTTATACCTGGCCATCCATGAGCACTGGTTGTCGGCAGGGATATTTACAAGTACTGTTGGGAAGGCAGGTCCCAAAAGAACAGGCTCTCACTTACCGAGGAAGGCCTGGGTAAGCAGGATTTGGGGTGCAGTGTAAACCCACTTTACTTTGCAATCTATTTTGCTAGAGCTGAAAATACTTAACAAGATTTATGTTTTTAGATAGACTATCATGGCTGGGGAGTGGTGCACACCTTAAATCCCACCACTCAGGAGGTGGAGGCAAGAGGATCTCTGGAGGCCAGACTGCTTTACAGAGTTCCAGACAGCCAGGGATACAAATCCTTCTCAAAAAACAAAAAACACACAAAAAAGCTATCCTGTATCCCAGGCCCCCAGCACTTTGAAAGAAAGGTCTCAAAGTGATTGACTCCAAAGGGGGCTGATTGACTATGGCTGCAGTAAGGTTTGTGCAAGCCTGGTCCCCACTCTAACAGTATTGAGAGATGGTTAACTCTTTAGGAGGTAGGGCCAGAGGAAAATAAAATTAGGTTGTGAGTACCACCCTTGGAAGGGATTAATGCCAAGCCCCAGGAATGAATTAGCTATTCCAGGAGGAGGCTGTTAGGAGGACAGCACAACACTGTCTACCATTGCCTTACCTTCACACACACTCCCTCACTCTCAAGGGCACCCATGTTATGCTCCATCTTGTGACAGAGCAGAAGACTCTACCAGCACCTGGGGCTTCCAGAACTGTCAGTCAAAACAAACTCCATCCTCTGTAGAACGTCAAGTCTCAAGCATTTAGTTATCACAACACAAAATCAAAATGGAATGGAGCATTCTGCTTCTAACACCACTTTCAAATCCCGTCCCTCACGTGCTTTGGTATTCTCTTTTGAAATTAGAAAGCCTGTGCTGTGAGGTAGCTATGTGCTCACCTGGTCTGGAGATGAGGTTGTTTGTAAGTTTTCCTGTGGAAGGTAACTCTGCTTACACATTCGTTCAGAGAATTGTTCTCTTTAGCTTGCCCCCAAGGTTTCAGCTTTCCTAGGTTAGAAAAAGGGGTGTTAGCATTCTTTCATCACAGCTCCATTGTCTCCATCTTTTAGCCTGCCTGCCCATCAACATTTTTACTGTTCAAGAGATATTTAGATAGGTATTTTCTGCAGTGAATTTTGATTTCACATTTAAATGTAAACCATATTTTCCTCTAAAAATGTGCTTTAATAATAATTTTAAAACCCCTGTATTATTCCTGTGTTTATATAAGTGTGAGTATAGCAGGTGTGAACCCTGTATTATTCCTGTGTTTATATAAGTGTGAGTATAGCAGGTTTGAACCCTGTATTATTCCTGTGTTATATAAGTGTGAGTATAGCAGGTGTGAACCCTGTATTATTCCTGTGTTATATAAGTGTGAGTATAGCAGGTGTGAAGAGCTCATTCTGTCCTCCTCCTCCAAGGGTTCTGGGAACAGCACGCAGATTGTCAGGTCTGTGCTGCCACGACACCCACTCAGCCCCTCACTGGCCTGTCATACATGGCTTGTTAGTACAGACACTTTTGTTTACATTTGCTTGTGCACGTGCCATGGCATGTGTGACGTCCACAGATGACTGGCTGCAGCTGATTCTCCTTCCACCATGTGGGTCCCAGGAATTGCAAACTCAGGCAGTCAGACTTGGTACTAAGTGGCTGTACCTGCTGCCTTACTGCTTACTGGTGTGTATCATCTTTTGATTTTATTTTTTAACTCTGAGGAAGTCACAGGAAAAATCCCCAATACAGGATTAGAGAGATGCTAAGAGTGTTTACTGCTCTCACAGAAGACCCAAGTACAGTTCTCAGCCCATATCAGGTGGCGTCATATCACCCGTCCCTCTAGGTCCAGGAGACTGGATGTCCGGCTTCCCTGGGCGAGTGTACTCAAACATGTACATAAACAGACAGTATACAGACTTTTAAAAAATTCTAATAAAAAATTTTGATAATCCTAAACTAATTATACAACAGTTCAAATAGAGCAATTACAACCAAATAATTTATTTTAAAATTAGATAAGTATTATGTTAAATATCAAAATAGCATTCTTTTTAAAGAAACAGTTAATATTTTTAATATTTTAAAGGTTTCCTTTTCTTTTGGTTTGTTTTTTGAGGCAGGGTTTCTCTATATAGCCCTGGCTGCCCTAGAACTTGATCTATAGACCAGGCTGGCCTCAAATTTATAGAGGTACTCCTGCCTCTGCCTCCCAAGTGCTGGGATTAAAGGCGTGTGCTACCACTGCCCAGCCTTAAAGAAGGTTCTAGTCATTTGTATATGTGTGTGTCTGTCTGCATGTAGCCACCTACATAGGTGCTATTGAAGGCCAGTGTTGTGAGATCCCGACACACTGGAGTTATGGATAGCTGTGAGCTACCAGATTTGGGTGCTGGGAATAGAACTTGGGTTCTTTGGAAGAGTAATTCTTAACCATTGAGCCACCTCTCCAGCTCCAAGGGTTTTTGTTGTTTTAATTTGTGTGTACTGCTGAGTCTTATGTGTACCGTGTGCATGCAGGTGCCCACAGAAGCCAAAGTCGGAGGTGTAGTCCACTCTGAACTACCTGGTGTGGGTGCTTTTTCCCTGCGAGAGTACTAAGTGCTAACATCCTCAAGACGTTTTCAGTGAGATGGTTAGAATTAGGTAAAAGATCTACTGTAAAAGATGATGGGTACCATAGTGTATTTTATAGCTGGGCATGGCAGCTCACACTACTAATTCCACATCTTGCGAAGCTAAGGAAAAGAGTTCAAGAGCACACTGGGATAAAGAGGGAGTTTCAGATTAGCCTGGGCTATACAGTGAGACGCAGTCTCAAAAAACACTGTTCTCAGCCAATGCAATGTGATGGGCCAGCCTCATGCACCTGCTGCAGTGTCTCCTGCCATGCTGGACTGTATGTATCTACCTATAACTACTGTGATACAACGATGGGCCAGCCTCATGCTCTAGCCACCAAAATGAACTATACTCATCGATAAATGTGAGGCACAATAAACCCTGACTCTTAATACAAACCAACACAACGAAGATCAAACAACAAAAACCCCATACACAAAATAAAGTGAATGTGACATATAAGACTGCTAAGAGCAGAACTAAAATGTTCTAAAAGAATAAACAAGTAAAATGAAGAGCCCATCACTCTGAAGTTCAAAGTCATTCTTGGCTTCAAGCAAATCCGAGGACAACTAGAATGCTTGAAGCCTGCCTCAAAACAAAGAAAGGAGCAGAAACTCACAGATATTTATAGACTCTGTTCTTAACAGCCAACCATGAAAAGTTCACACAGGCTACCTTTAAGCTGACATTGATCTGCTGACAACTTGTATTTTTGGTTAACAGATCTGTAAGCAGATCAATTGTTTTTTGCTTAATGGAAATCTTTTTTTTTTTTTGGTTTTTCGAGACAGGGTTTCTCTGTGTAGCCCGGGCTGTCCTGGAACTCACTCTGTAGACCAGGCTGGCCTCAAACTCAGAAATCCGCCTGTCTCTGCCTCCCAAGTGCTGGGATTAAAGGCGTGCGCCACCACTGCCCGGCCATGGAAATCTTTTAAGTTAGGGATTCATGTGGAAGCAGGAGCAGAAATTTATATGGTGGGACTTCCTCCAAGTCACAGAATGTTTTTTCCTCTTGTTTTATAGTGTTTGGATATAAAATTCAGAGCCTCATCCTGCCAGGAAGCACTTCACTACTATATACACCATAATAGCATACATACATGTACACGTGCACACAGACAGCATACACCTCAGCTTTAGTGCAGGACTGTTTAGTCTTTTAGCAGCCCTGCCCTTCCAGACTATCCCACATACCTTTGTGTGGCTTGTAGTTGAGGGGACGAGACAAGCTTGCTTTGAGATCAAATACCGGTTTCTTACTAGAACTTGGAGTCTGTGTTGCTTCAGTCATCAACTTGAATGGGGTAATAACTGGAAAAAAAAAAAGCCCAAATAAACCAAACATTAAAGAACTTAATTATTAAAACAAAAAGATATGGAGCTTAAAAATACACTTTTTAGATTTGTTTTACATGTATGAGCGTTTTGCATGCATGTGCGCTGTGTAACACATGCATGCCAGTTCCCAGGATTACGAGGGCTATTGGATCTACTTCCCTACCACATACATAGCCATCACGGGGACGATAGGCCACAACAATAACTGCAGCACTTGAAATGAAGGCAGGAAGACCAGGAGTTCAAACCAGCCTCAGCTACACAAGATCTGGTCTCAAAAAGCAAATAAAAAAATGAAAAGAGGGCTAGAGAGGTTTGGAGCCTGCACTGTCCTTCCAGAGAACCTGAGTTTAGTTCTCAGCACTCACGTCATGTGGTTCACAACTTCCTGTTAACTCCAGCTCCAAAGGAGCTGACAACTTTTGGCCTCTATAGGTACCTGTACTCATGTGCTCATACCTACTCACAGATAAATACACATAATTATATCATGTGGGCATGGTGGTACATGCCTTTAATCAGAGTACTCAGGAGACAGAGGCTGGTGGATCTCTCTGAGTTCTAGTCCAGCCTGGTCTACAACTCGAATCCAGGACAGCTGGGGCCCTCTCTGTTATGCATCAAAACCCTGTCTCAAAAAACCACAGACACACAGGGGACTGGTGAGATGCCTCAATGGTTAAGAGCATTGGCTGTTCTTCCAGAAGTCCTGAGTTCAATTCCCAGCACCAACATAGTGGGTCACAACCATCTATAATGGGATCTGATGCCCTCTTCTGGTGTGTGGATGTATATGCAGCAGAGTACTCAAACATGTAAAATAAAAATTCACAAAAATAGAAAGCTTTTTTAAAAAAATTAATTAAGCCAGCATATTTATAATTTATAATCCCAACACTCAGAAAGCAGAGGCAGGAAGACCTGTGAGGTAGAGACCAGCGTGGACTACACATGTCAATTCCAGGAGAAACTGGAACAGTGTGAAACCCGTCTCAAATAACCAATTATATATGGGTGAAAAGATTTGTAGCTCTATTTATTAGTAAAAGCTATTTACTATTTAGTAATGTAAATGTTTATATTATAGAGCTAAAACGAGGATGGTATAATTTATCAAGCCTTATTGCTATAACTGAGCACCAAGTATCTACCACAGTTATACTTCTTTCGCTTCAGAGGAAGCTACTCAGTCATGATTAATGTTAACACTTGTGAAGGAAGAGCTAAAAATCAAGAGTCACCTAGTTAACCAATTACATAAGAGAGTTTAAGTTATCTATTGTGGTAATGTCTCAACAGCAGGAGGTGTCAGAGCGAGGGTGGTGAGTGCCAGAGGTGGGGGTACACCCTCAAATACACTAAGCTTGATCCTGTGTCTGAAAGAAATTCTTGCACTTCCACAGCATATGATGTGTTCTGGAGGTACCTATATGTCTTTAGGGGACAAACTTGAACTATATCCATACCATTGAAACATTGTTAAAATAACTGAATGGGAGTTAATGAAGTCACAGGAAAAGAAAAAAATTAAAATTAAAATCTGGTAATGGGGTGGGGGATCAAAGTAACATTTTGTATTTTAATGAGACCCTGAGTTACTTAGCGGAAGCCACTAAGAAGGAGGTAACTGTTTGAGTCTGGGCCTTATGTCTTTATCTCTGAGCACTTTTGAACCCTCTTGTTATTGTGAGATAGATGCTTTCAGGCTCCAGCCCTTTGTAAAATGACATAGACTCTAACCATCTTTTTCCATCATTTTTTTTTAATCACCCCTGCCCAGGTCATTTCTTCATGTTTAGAAGGCTAGGTGGAATGTTTGCTGGCTGATGCTGGTAAGATAGGGCCAGATGAGAGGTCATCCAGGGGAATTCTGTAAACTTACTCTTTTCATCTCTGCACTGTGTGTGTATATGAGAGAGACACACAGAGAGGAACAGAGAAAGCAGAAACACATTCTGAGGTCAGGTATCATCCACTTTCTCTTTGAGAAACAGTCTCTCAAACTGTAGAGTCTGTCTCTACAGTTTCAGCAACTGCTGAGTCCGAAGGAGTGAATTCTGTCTGTGTCCCCCCATCACTGGGATTATAATAAACATGTTACTGCATCCAGATTTCTTTTAGACGAGGGCTCTAGAATGTGAACTCAGGTCCCTTGCTTCAAAGACAAGTGCTTTTACTCACTAAGCCTGAATTTAATTTTCTTTCTTACTATCCAGTTAAGCTGGTAATCCCTATAGAAACCCTCTGTCTCCACACCAGCACACACATGTGACCAAATCTGTGGCCTTGCACATAATATTAAGCCTCTACTATTGAGGTGTACATTTTCATTTGAACCTCGCCATCACTATTACATCTGGGCAGGGTTGAAATGAGCCTCAGTGGTTAAGCAAGTACTTAGCATGTGTAAGTCCCCAGGCTCAATCCCCAGTGACGCACAAAGAAGAAAAACAAAACCCATGAGTAGGACTTGGAGGTGGCGTCTCAGTGGGCAGAGGTGAGAGCATCCTCACGCCATACTCCAGCTGACCCGTTCCTCGACCCGCCCAAAGTCTGTCTAGGCTTTGGAATGCTGTTCCTGTCAAGGCATAGAAGACACAGAGGTTGATTTCCAAGATCATTTTCTTAATCTCTGAGTCCTAGAAGAGCTAAAAGTAATTCAGGAAGGGTCACTGTCTTAGAACTCCTTCTCAATAGAACGGACCCTGCAGCAGGTGTGTGTGTGTGTGTGTGTGTGTTTAGCTCATGTTTCTGGCATTTCCTTCACTGGGGTAAAAGAAACATATCCTATTATTTTTTTGTACTTGACTTTATACATATGTAGACACTTTCGAGAAGGAGGTATGTCTAGTTTAGGAAGTTACAGTTTGTTATTTATTTATTTATTATTATATGTAAGTCCACTGTCGCTGTCTTCAGACACCCCACAAGAGGGCATCAGATCTCATTACAGATGGTTGTGAGCCACCATGTGGTTGCTGGGATTTGAACTCAGGACCTCCAGAAGAGCAGTCAGTGCTTTTAACTGCTGAGCCATCTCTCCAGCCCAGGAAGTTACAGATTTAAGGAAGAACTTTCTTTTACCTGCAGTAGACTTCCTCTCAGTGGCCTTTAACTTGGGTGTCCTGAACTCAGCCTGGCCTTTCGAAGCCCTCCCCGGTGTGGCCACATGTGGAGACTTTCTGGCTGGTGTCTTGGTCAGTGAGCTCTTATGTTCATTATCTTTAGTAGCAGCTGAAAACCTAAATGTAATAACAGAGGGAAGGAGGTGAGTACTTGTACCGAGGGGAACTAAGGTCAAGCTTGTGAGTGAGATACATCACTGGACCATCACCAGCTGGTTTGGTGGCAGCATCTGCCTAGAAGGATGTCATTTGGTGGAGTGGTATAAATGAGCACTCTCTACTCATGCCAAAGCCAAATGTCAGACATGTATTTTAGTGATGTGCTGGCTGGTTTTATATCAACTTGATACAAGCTAGATTTATCTGAAAGAAAGGAATCCCAGTTGAGACAATGTTTCCGTAAGATCCAGCTATAGGGTATTTTCTTAATCAGTGACTGATGGGGAGGGCCCAGCCACTTGTGGGTGGGGACACCCCCTGGGCTGGTGGTCCTGGGTTTATAAGAAAGCAGCCTGAGCAAGCCAGTAAGCAGCATCTCCTCTGTGGTATCATCTCCTGCCTCCAGGTTTCTGCCCTGCTTGAGTTCCTGTCATGACTTCCTTCAAGGATGAAGAGGGATATAGAAGTATAAGCCAAATAAACCCTTTCCTCCTCAAATTGCTTTTGGTCATGGTGTTGCATCACTGAAATAAATAGTACTTCCCCCTAGGACTGGGGCGACATGTGAATTCCTTGGGCTGGTGAGCCAGCTAGACTAGCCTACTTGGTAAGTTCCAGGTTGGTGGGAGACTCTGTCTCCAAAAAAAATGTAGGTGGAGTGTGATGACAACTGAAGGTCATCCTCTATCCAACACACCTACAGACACACACAGACACACACAGACACACACACAGACACACACACAGATACAGAGACACACACACACAGACACACACACAAATACAGAGACACACACACACAGACACACACACAGATACAGAGACACACACATACACAGACACAAATACACACACAGGATATACATCAAGCATATCTGAACACTAGGAGTATAGCTCAGTGGTAGAGCCCTTGTCTAACACACATGGCCCTAGACTTACCCGATGTGCACATATGTATACACACCCACGTAACTCTTTAAGAGAAAGTCTTCTTACCTGACATTCATTTTAGTTGTTGAGTAGCCTTGTGAGCACTGCCGCCTGGCAGGGGTACAAGGTACAGAGAGTCTTCCTTTTGGTGGAACTGGGGTCACTGTCCCTTTTTTGTCAAGCTGCTTTTGAAAAGAAGAAAAACCACCATTTTAAAATCTTGGTCTCAAAAATAAATAAATAAAATAAAATAAAATAAAATCTTGGTTTCAGGCCGCAGGCTAGCTCTAGCTCAGTGAGTAAAGGCAGAAGCCTGGAGACCTATGTTTCTTCCCCACAGCCACACAGGAGAAGAGAGAGCCAACCCTCACAAACTGTTCTCTGACCGACAAGCACACACACAACTTGCTCTCAAGCCAGGTGGAGCGGTATATCCCTGTAATTCCACTTGAAAAGTGGAGTGAAGGCAACCAGGAGTCCAAGGCCAGCCTTACCAAGAGACATCTCAAGGCTACCTTAAACTACATACAACACTGTTCTCAAAAACAAAAACAAAACCACACTGTTCTCAAGATAATCACCAACAACAATTAAAAAAGAAAAAAAAAAAAAGAAAAGGAAGAGCAGAAAAGCAAATGGTCTTTTTTTTTTCTTTAATTTTTAGATTTCTTTATTTGATGTATAGATTTCTTTATTTGATGTATTTGTGTATAGGTATTTTGCCTGCATGTATGTCATGCACCATGTGCCTGCTTGGTGCCCAGGGAGGGCAGAAGACAGTGTCAGATCCCCTGGAAGTGGAGTTATAGACCATTGTGAGTGTCCATATAGGTGCTAGGAATTGAACCCAGGTCCTCTGGAAGAGCAGCCTTAAGATGCTCTTAACCAGTGAGCTATCTCTGCAGTTTCAAGATCATTCACTCTGACCTACTGGGCCGTCATCCCAGCTCTACTCGGTCCCCTTTTATTTTTCTAATTCATTATTTTATTTCATTTTACTTTAGTTTAGTTTTAGTTTTAGAGACAGAGTTTCTCTGTATGGCCCTGGCTACCCTACTCTGTAGACTATGCTGGCAGAACTCACAGAGATCCGCCTGCCTCTGCCTCCTGAGTGCTGGGATTAAAGGCATACACCACCACCACCTGGTTTCAGTCCTCTTTGAAATTAATTTAATACTTAAAAAAATGTATAGTGCTGTAATTAGCTTACATCTGTTTTTAAAAATAGCAAGATATACAGTATGAGTCCTCACATGACTGTTTCTCACCTGTCAGGTACCTTAAACTCCAGGGAGCAGTAACCCTGACTTCATAAGATGTTATCAATTCATAACTTTTTATAACTCAGTAATCGGCCCCATCACATTTTCTCACTGAGACCAATAAAGCCTGGACTGAAGACTTCTGAGGAAACTGTTTAGTAACCCTTTAAGATAGCCATTATAATTCCCTCAATTGGAGAAAAAAGCTAGAGCCAGAAATTGTTTCATTCTCACTGCAAGTAAGGTAAAATGAATGTGGCACACATAACACATGCCGCATGGATGGGGTTATCTATCTACTTATCTATCTATATGTGTGTATATACAAATATTTTATTTTCATTTATTTTTTTAATTAAAAATTTTTGTGTGCCAGGATGTGGTGGCACATACCTTTAATCCCAGCAGGTTATTTCTGTGAGTTTGATGCCAGCCTGGTATACAGAACTAGTTCCAGGACAGTCAAGGCTACACAAAGAAACTCTGTCTTAAAAAAAAACAAAACAATAGGGCTGGAGAGATAGCTCAGAGATATCAGATAGTTAAGAAATATCTCAGATAGTTAAGAGTACTGACTGCTCTTCCAGAGGCCCTGAGTTCAATTCCCAGCAACCACATGGTAGCTCACAACCACCTGTAATGGGATCAGATGCCCTCTTCTGGTGTCTGGAAACAGCTACAGTATTCTTTCTATCTTTCTATCTTTCTATCTATCTATCTATCTATCTATCTATCTATCTATCTATCTACCCAAAACCAATAAATTATGAAAGCACTCACACACCCAATAAAAAGGTCTTGAGATCTTGAGAGGACTGAGCCAGAGCCAAGCTGACTCCATAGCAGGCTGCAAACTGGAAGTGTGGGAGACTAGGCCTAAGTTTCTGTTTCCCAAAAATGAGAACCCAGATCCAGGACCCTGTGGTCGGCCAACCACAGCCACAGGCAGCCAACTGAGGACCCCTTGTAAAAATAGGTAGCTAGAATGAGTAAGCAACCCCCTGGGAATTCTCCAGAGCCTAACCAATTGTAGAATTAGTCAGACCCCTAGAGATAGAGCTAACCAATCAAGGTAAAAGGACATATACCCCTCCCTGGAATTCCCCTAACGTGACAATGAACTGACTGTGGTCTGTGAGTCCACCAGAGGTCTCTATTCACAAATGGGGAGAGACCTGCATGCAGGAAATTTCGCTGAATAAATGCTTTTTGCTTTTGCATGCTATTTGAGTCTGGGGTGTCATTCTCTGGTGATTCTTGGGCCCTATCAGTCTCACTCTATAGCACTGGCTAACCTGAAACTCCCCATGTAGTTCATGCTAACCTCAAACTCATGTGCCTGCCTCTGCTCCCTAAGTACTGGGTTAAAGGTAAGTGCCACAACATGGCAGGATACAGTTTTTAGAGGGTTTTAAAAATTCTGAGGGAAGGAAAAAGCAATTTTAAGACAGATGTGTCAAAACCCAAATAAGTCCATTTACCTATATAGTCATTTGATGATAGTGATATTCTCCATATTGTTAAATTATTTAAAAGTGGAAACTTTGGTAGGTGTGGCAGTTCATGCCTAAAATATGAGTACTTGGGATGCTGAGAGTCACTGATGATTCAAGGACAGCCTGGACCACAAAACAAAAAGGAACAGCAAACAAGGCAAGTAGTTCAGTCTAAGAAAATGAATTTTAAGAATTAACAAGAAACTAGGAGTAGTGGCAAATGTCTTTAATCCAAGTATTCTGCAGAGGCAGGAGGATCTCTGTGAGTTCCAGGACTGTCAGACCTACATAGTAAGACCTTGTCTTGGAAAAAAAAACCCAAAAAACCAAAAAAACAAAAAAAAAAAAAACCAAAAATCAAAAAATGCCAGGTGGTCAGGGGCAGAACAGGAGGGGGATGAAGCTGGACTGTAAAAATGGATTAAAGAACTAAAAAAAAAAAAATGCCAGGTGGTAGCTGGAGCCTTTAATCTCAGCACTCAGAAGGCAGAGATGAGTTAATCTCTGTAAGTTTGAGGGCAGCCTAGTGCACAGAATGAGTTTCAGGACAGCCAGGACTAGACGAGAAAACCTGTCTCTAAAAACAAAAACAAAACAAAACAAATTAACAAGATGAAGCTAGAGAGACGGCTCAGTAGTTAAGAGCACTAAATATTTTTTCAGAGGACCTGGGTTCAATTCCCAGGACGCATATGGTAGCTCACAACCACCTGTAACTCCTATTCCAGTGGACTCAACCCATTTCTCATCTCCATGGGCACCAGGCAGGTACATGGTACATATAGGCAAAACACTCAAACACACAAAACAAAATGAATAAATAATAAAAATCATGCATCTCATCTTCATACCTTTAGTTCATTAAGTGAATTGTGTTCTTTAAAGTGTTTCTTTTTTCTTACAATATATTCATCAATGGATTCCATTTTCTTAAAACGAGCCTCATGAAGCTTCTTAAAGTCTAGAACATTCCAAATTATGAAAAGTAATAAGATAAAAATCCATTTTAACCTTCCCTATGTTTTTATCAACATTTATTCTCTTTATTCTTCTAACATTCAACTTTAATATCATCTTGGCTAAAACATTAATTCCAGAACACTAAGCTTTCAGAAATTCACGGCAAAGCATGTTCACGTTAGAGATCATCAAGCATTCACTGTCGCCAGTGACCAATTCCCTGACATCTTGGTTTGGAGAACAAGAGATTTGCCTTCTTCCACCCCAGTTAATCATTACAAAATTGGCTGTGTGTGTGTGTGTGTGTGTGTGTGTGTGTGTATGTGCGCGAGCGCGCGCGCGCGCGTGCATGTGTGTTTGTGATGACTGAAGTCCAGGACTTCCTAAGCTCATGTTCTACCATTTGAGATACAACTCTAACATGTGAAAATCGACACTTTAAATGCCAAGAAAGCACTGAGTGAAGGACTTCCATGAGGGCTCAGGCAGTAAATGTTAGGCTAGCATGGTTTCTGTCTCATTTTGTTTTAATCCCTTTAAGAATTGAAAGCCATGGGCTGGAGACATGCCTCAGTGGTTAAGAGCACTGACTGCTCTCCCAGAGGTCCTGAGTTCAATTCCCAGCAACCACATGGTGGCTCACAACCATCTGTAATGAGATCCTATGCCCCCTTCTGGTGTGTCTGAAGACAGCGAAGTGTACTCACATATATAAAAAATAAAAAATAGGGCTGGTGAAATAGTTCAGAGGTTAAGAGCACTGACTACTCTTCCAGGGGTCATGAGTTCAAATCCCAGCAACCACATGGTGGCTCACAACCATCCGTAATGAGATCTGATGCCCTCTAAGGGGGTGTCTGAAGACAGCTACAGTATGCTTACATATAATAAATAAATAAAAACTTTAAAAAAAATAATTCTTTTTTTTGGTTTTTCGAGACAGGGTTTCTCTGTGTAGCCCTGGCTGTCCTGGAACTCACTCTGTAGACCAGGCTGGCCTCGAACTCAGAAATCCGTCTGCCTCTGCCTCCCAAGTGCTGGGATTAAAGGTGTGCACCACCACTGCCTGGCAAAATAATTCTTTAAAAAAAAAGAAAAAGAAAGAAAAAGAAAAAAAGAACTGAAGGCCATGCTGAATGTGGTGGCACATGCCTATAAACACAATGCATAGTAGGAAGAGACAGAAATATTAAAAATTCAAAGCTAGCCATGGATACACAGTGAGTCTGGAGCTTCCTGTCTCAAAAAAAACCAAAAAAACAAAAACTTTAGCTCAAAAGATTTAGAACTAATCAAGGTGGGCAGGGAGTAGTCTGTCAGACTCTACCTTGAGCTATTCCATTATTTCATTTCTTTTTTTTATTTTTTACAGTTATTGTTTTATACGTATGAATGTTTTGTCTGCACATATGTTCGTATACTATGTGCATACCTGGTACTCAAGGAGGTCAGAAAAAAAGAGTTAGATGCCCTGAAACTGGAGTTACAAATGGTTGTGAGAGGGACACTCTGTAGATGCTGAGAATTAACTCGGGTCTTCTGCAAGAGCAACAAATGCTCTTAATCTCTGAACCATCTCTCCATCCCCAATTACTGAACTTCTAATATATGATGAACACTATTCTATTATAAATATATAATAATCTATGAGTCATGCAACATAAGCCAGATGAGAAAATTGTTCTTGTCTTTTTCATGTATTTAAACCTTGTAACCAAGACTCTGGCTCCCAAGTGCTGAGAACAGCATGTACCTAGTATTTCAGATATTATTTCATCAGATATTTATTGAAGCCTTTCTGTGTGCTATTTGATGTGCTAGCAGCAGTGGAAAAAGTATTCTCAAGTTATATGCCAACCCACTGAAGCCTGAAGTACAGCCATTACCCCATTGAGAAAGTCAGTCTGAGGATCAGGTATGCACAGTTCTGACGCTAGGAACCTGGACTGGTGGAACATGAGCTCTGGTCCCCACATCTGAGAGTTTAGCTGCTGCTAACCACTGCCTATTAACCAAGAGTCTAAAGGAGGGCAGCAGCTGGTTTGGTTTGTGTTCAAACTTACTTGGTGTCGTGGCTGAAGTCCTTTTATTGTTCCCAAGTTTAGAAAACCCATCCGTGCATAGAGATCTTTTTTCTAAAGGCCTTTTTGAGTCTTTACAGTCTAAATAGGCAAATATAAAATAAGTAAAAAACATTTTTCTATTAAAATGCTGACTTGAATAACCAAAGATATAAAAAACTTGTAAGAAACATCTGTCTGGGGCTGCAGATGTAGCTCAGTATTTGAGTACCTGCCTAGCAAGTACAAGGTCCTGGGTTCCATCTTTAGCAGTATCAAAACTAGACAAAGAAACAAAAAAGGGTAAATTATTTTATCTGCTTCTTCTTGTTACCTATTATTTATTTGGTATCACAGAAATGAAGTGAGTTTAAATAGCCTTTTTAGTAACTGCAGGAATTATTTAACCAGAACACGTCAAGTGACCTGCTTCTTTGAGACAGGGTGTCTTTACGTAGCCTTAGCTCTGAAACTGACTATGAAGACCAGGCTGGCCTTGAACATACAGATCTGTCTTTCTCTGCCTCCTGAATGATGGGATTCAAGTGTTGAGCACTACACCAGACAGAGAAATCATAGTTTCTTTTTTTTTTTTTTTTTTTTTTTTTTTTTTTTTTTTTTCGAGACAGGGTTTCTCTGTGTGTAGTCCTGGCTGTCCTGGAACTCACTCTGTAGACCAGGCTGGCCTCGAACTCAGAAATCCGCCTGCCTCTGCCTCCCAAGTGCTGGGATTAAAGGTGTGCGCCACCACCACCCGGCGAAATCATAGTTTCTTAATGTCAGATGAAAGATGGATTCTGGATTTATGTTCTTTGTACATTGTGTGAGAAAGCTCTTATTTAAGGAGCATACTCTGAAACCAGCATATGTCTGTAATTCCAGCACTTGGGGCAGGGAATGTTCAAGGACATCCTTGGCTACATAACGAGTTCCAGGCCAATGTAGGTTAGAAGAAGTCATGTTTTTTAAAAAAGGAATCAAAACAATAAAATAATACACCCATCCCTCAATCAAGAAATCCCACGCAGTACATATGAGGCACATATCTACAACTTCTCTCAAAGTTCAGGGAAAAAGTATGTATGTGCGTGTGTGTGAGGAGGAGTGGGAGGGGGGAGAGAAAGGGAAGGGAAGAGAGGAGAGAGAAGAGAGGGAAGGAAGGAAAACTAAGAAAGTTGTTGTAAAATGTTAACAGTCGGGAAATCTGAGTCACATTCTGCACCACATTCTGCTGGTCCCTGTAATAGGCCATCATCTCCCTAAATCCTTCCTGTCCATCCTCTAGCAAGTGTCAGAGCCAGGCAGAGATGTCCCATGGCAACTGGCAGGCTTCCTAAGGAATAAAACAGAGAGCACAAAGTGCTGTCAGGAAGGGCCAACTCAATTTTCTGATCTTCTAAAACTTAACTGAAAAGGTTGGAGAGATGCCTCAGCGGTTAAGCACTTGTTGCTATTGGAGGCTTAGGTTCATGCTCCCAGCACCCATATGGTGGCTCACAACCATCTATAACTCCAGTTGTAGGGGATCTGATGCCCTCTTCAACTCCACAGACACCAGGTATGTACCTGGTAAACATATATGCTTGCAAGCAAAATATTCATACACATAAATATAAAAAAAAATCTATTAAATAATTAAAAGCAAAGAAACAAAAAATAAATTATTAGTTGGGAAAGTTTCAGGAAAATGTGGCTTATTTTGTTTTGTTTTGAGACAGTCTCTTGCTATGTAGACCAGTTGGTCTGGAACTTATTCTATAGATCAGAGTAGCTTTGAACTCTGCAGATCCACCTTTTCAGTCTCCCAAATGTTGGAATTAAGGAAAGGAATGTGGAAGACTGAAAAAGACACATATTCACTATGTGAAAGTGGGTGTCACCCCTCCCTATAAGCAGCCTAGTTGAAGAAGCAGGTAAGTGTTTATATCAGTCAAGTTCTGCAGAAAGGCTATTGAGAATAAAATGGGTTCCCTTGTCACCAAGAGAATGGCATTCCCAAACTCTCCAAAAACCTCTTATTCTGGTCTGGATAAAAGTCATGGCTCAGGATGCAGCTCAGTCACTGAGCACTTGCCTGGCAGCTCAAGCTCCTGGGTTTGATCCCAGTATCAGATAACAAATGTTAAATAAAACTCAGTGGTCTTTGGCCTTTATTTCTAGGTTTTGCTTTAATTGTAAAACATGTGAAAGTTACAAGTGTGGCTACAGTGAACTGTGGTCCTATAAAGACTGAGTTAGTTCCCAACTCTAGCATCTGTGATGTCAATTTTCTTAGGAACAGGGTCTCGAGACATTTAGTCAAACAGAAGTTGTTTGGGTAGGTAGTATTCCAATAGGACCAGTGTCCTTAGAAGAGGGTCAGACATCCAACCCCAGAACTCTAAAGGCTGATACGGTAGGAAGACTGCTGGAAATTTGAGGCCTGCTTGAGTTATAGTTTGAGAATCTATCACAGGCCAAAGGAACAAGGTAAACGTCATGTGATACCAGAGGCAGAGAGCAGGGTATGGCACCAGGCCAAGGAACAACAGACATGCACAGCCACTACAAAGAACAAGAAGCAAAGAAGGTTTTCCAGTGTCTTGGAAAACACCGCTTATCAACGCTTTGACTTAAAGCCTTGCAGCTCACAGATGTATATCACATCAATTTCCTTTTTTTTTTTTTTTTTGGGGGGGGGGCTTGTTTTTGTTTTCTGTTCTTGTTGTTATTTTGTTGGGGCTTTTTTGAGACAGAGTCTTCTGTCTATTCTATTGCCCTTGCTGTCCTAGAACCCACCATGTAGACCACACTGGCCTTGAGCTCATAGAGATCCACCTTCTCTGCCTCCCAAATGTTGGGAGTAAAGGCATGCAGTCAGGCATGGCTCAATTTCTGTATTTTAATCTGCCTGGTTTGGAGTCCTAGGAAACTGATATACATGGTCCCCCTAGCAATTTTAGTTTGATGATATTAACACATACCATTTATTTCTCCTTCTCCTGAGGAAGCTGCCTTCCCATCTCCTGGCCTCTGCTCTGTCAGAGAAGGAACTTCTGTTGTAGTGCTGAAGTCTTGGTTGTCCTGACTGTCCTGATTTTGGAAGTTAGTACCATCACTTCCTCTCATCTCCAAATGATCCTGCAACAGATTTTGAAAGGAAAAAAACTGCTACCTTCTTAAAAGAGAGTATGAAAAAGGGGTGTGTGTGTTGTTGGAGAGTCGGTCAGAGGAACAACATGGGAATAAGACTTCTGAGCATCTGTTTGACCCAGTGCTCCAAATTATAATTTCAAAAGCGAGTACTAGAGGTCACTAGAAAGAATGGAAAGAGCCAGGCAGTGGTGACGCACGCCTTTAATCCCAGCACTTGGGAGGCAGAGGCAGGCGGATTTCTGAGTTTGAGGCCAGCCTGGTCTACAGAGTGAGTTCCAGGACAGCCAGGGCTACACAGAGAAACCCTGTCTCGAAAAACAAAACAAACAAACAAACAAAAAAGTAAAAAAAAAAAAGAAAGAAAGAATGGAAAGATTTGTTCCCTCATGGATAATAAACACAGCTTCTTGATGTCTGCAGTCATGCAACACTACACACGGTGACCAGAAAGAGCCTGGAAATAGTAAAAGGTCTCTGAACAGGAACTATCCCAAATAAATCCAAGATCAAATCTGAACTGAACCTCCTGATTCCTGGGGACCCACATGGTGGAAGAAGAAAACCGAGTTCATCAAGTTGTCTTCTGGTTTGCACATGCAAGCCCTGGCATGTACCCCCAGCCTCCACCACATCCCTTCCCAACAAACTACATGTCTCTAACTGTAATTAAAGGCTAGAGAGATGGCATAGTGGTTATGCAGAAGACTTGGGTTTGAGTACCAGTACCACATAGTGGGTCACCATCTGTAACTCCAATTCCAGGGGATCAAATGCCCTCTCTACCCTCCCAGGGCACATGGTACAAGACATACATGAAGGCCAAATACATGTAAAATGAAAAATTAAATTAAAAAAAATTAAGGCTGAACATAATGGCATACACATTTAATCTCAGGAATAGGGAGGCAGAAACAGGTGGATTTTTGTGAGTTAGTTCAAGGCCAACCTGTTCTACAAAGTGAGTTCCAGAACAGCCAGGTCTAGTTACATAGTGAAACTCTGCCCCACTTAAAAAAAAAAGTAAAAAAAAAATACAAAGCAAGAAATCAGGACAGGCATGTTGCCTCATACCTATAATCCTAGCACTTGGACTGAAGCAGGAGAATTACCATGAGTTTAAGACCAGCTTGGGTTATAGAGTTAGACTTTCATCCAAAAAACTACCAGCAATAATAAGAGATCTGGCATGGTGCCACATGACTTTAAGCTGTCTACATATTGAGTACCAGCCTAGCCAAAGCTATATAATGAGACCCTCTCTTGAAGGGGAAAGGAGAGAGAAAGGGAGATGGAAAGGGAGAAAAGCAGGGAGAGGGAGAGAAGAGAGATATTATGTGGTAAAAAATTGTATTTGATTTCTGCTGCTGTTTCGCTATGTAGCACCATCTTTAAACTCACATTCTTGTGCCTCTGCTTCCCCCATATTATAGCTGTTACCTTTATACCTGGAAACAGAAGTTTCATTTGAATAAGATATGAGAGTAAAATCAGTGTAACCAAAGCAAGTGAGTAAGTCCCTACTTATTCATTGTTTGTGTTTGTGTTTGTTTTTGTTTTTCAAAACAGGGTTTCTCTGTGTAGCCCTGGCTGTCCCGGAACTCACTCTGTAGACCAGGTTGGCCTCAAACTCAGAAATCTGCCTGCCTCTGCCTCCCAGCTGCTGGGATTAAAGGCGTGTGCCACCACCGCCCGGCTACAGCAAACACTCTTAACCCCAGAGCCATCCCTCATCTTTCTCCAGCCCCTTACATGGGCATCTAATTCATACTTAATACTAGTAATTTCTTCCTGAGTGCTAGGGTCAGGCGTACAGTGGGGAGCACAGCGGACACAGGTTTCTATTTCTGAGGAGCCTGCAGCACACAGTATGTTTCTAGCCATCTGGCATCATGAGGGAAGGTAAATGGAAGCTCACTAAAAGTGTGCCAGTTATGGTAGACTGTGGTAGTTCTGGTGGCTTCTCTCAGTTTGCACAGTTCCATTCACCTGGGAGGTAGGAATTCCATGGATGGTCTTGTGCTTCCTTCTCCTTGTTTTGTTGACATGACCACCTGATTCCATCTCAGCTTGCTCCTCACTGCTAACTTGTACCTCAGTCTCTTCACAGGAGAATGCAGAAGACTGATTTTCATCCTGGGAAAAGAGGAGACAGTATGTGTCAGCGCCTGCATGCATGCACACTGAAGATCGCCTCCTAAGCCAAAGTAACTTGTCACAGATAACTAGCACTTGCATTTTCATAAACCTAAGTAAAAAGTTACAGTATGAATACAGGATGTTCAGAAAGGAGAATATCCAAACAGACCCACTTATGTGTTATGCTATGGCTTACAGGTCAGAGTAAGGTTCTTTTCATTACTGAATACCTAATATTAGCTATGTTTCTTATATTTGTGGTAGAAAGGAAAATAAACTTGGTTTTTCTCCTAGACCACAAAGGATCTGGATGGATTACCACTGTTTTTCAGTACTAAGGATCAAATGTAGGTGCGCCCACATGCTTGTAAGTGCCTAGGGGTGAAGATCATCCAGCCCCCTTTTCCACTTTGTATGTTGAGACAGAGTCTCAGTTACCCAGGCAGACTTTGACTTTTAATCCCCCTGTCTCAGCCTCCTGAGTTACAGGTATGGTCCCATCACGTAAGGTTGGGTTGTTTTTGTTTTTCTTTTTAAATAAACATTATATATATGACTTAAAATATTAAATGCAAGCTGTGGAAAGTGTGTATTTCAGTGGTAAAACACTCACTGATCATGTCCAAGGCCCAGAGTTTGACCCTGTAGATGGGGCAAGTGTTATGCTCAAAAGCAACTGTGAAAACCATTGGTTATCTTACCTTTGCTGTTGTCTTGAGACAACAGAGGGTATTAATTAGAAAGCAAGTGGCCCAGGTATGGTGGTTAGACCCTTAAATCCCAGCACTAGAAGGCAGAGGCAGGTAGATCTGTTTCAGACCACATTGTGCTACACAGAGAGTTCCAAGCCAGCTAGAGTCACACACATACACCAGTGGGGGAAATCAGCAGATGAATACGAAGAATAGCAAAAATTTCAAAATTGGGCATCTCTCTACTACTTAGCAAGTTTGAGGACAATTTGAGCTACAAGAGACCTTGTCTTAAAATGAAAGCAAAATTTTCAAAGATGGAGTTAGAGACATAGCTCAGAGTTAAGTGATTTGTTACTCCTTCCGAGGAATGAAGTTTAGCTCCCAGGACCCATGTCAGGCAACTCACAACTTCCTATAACTCTAGTTTCTGGCTTCCAAAGGCATTTACAAGCACATTCTCGCTTTCCTGTCTGTCTGTCTCTCTTACACACACACACACACACACACACACACACACACACAAAGTTTATAAAGAAACAAAATGGGGCTGGAGAGATGGTTCAGTGGTTAAGGGCATTTGTTGCTCTTTCAGAGATCCTAGTCCCATGTAATTAACTAAACCTAAAAACAACAACAAAAGGAAAATGAGATCAGATCTGCTACTTAACCTGGGTATTTGTGATTTTTAAGTCTAGTTTTTATCCAACTCGTCTCCTGCTGCCTCTTCTGTGTCACAAGCTATATTTATCTTTTGCTTTCCTTGTTTTTTGGCTTTTTACTTCCTTTTTAAGACAGGGTTTTCATTAGTTTAGGCTGCTATTGAACTCAAGAACTTGCTGCTCAGTCACTGGAATCCTGTCATGTAAGCTTGTGTCGTGACACTTAGGTACTTCTGCATTTGTTTAAAGACATCCATCTTATTCAGTAGGTAACATGGCATTTTCATCCTTTATAGCAAACAATGAGACAATTCATTCCCTGGTCACATTACTAATGATAATAACATCATATAATAATAACCATCATATCTTTTTGTCTTTTTCAGATAGGGTCAGGGTCTGGCTCCCACTCCCAGTGTTGGGTTTCTAAGCATGAGGCTCTACGCCATCTCTTATACCTGAAGTTATCAGTAATAGGTATTAATTGTTTACTAACCAAACACTACAGTTTGACTAGCTAACAAGTGATAAAGGACATTACTCACCTGAATTTTATTTTCTTTCCTTGTTTCTGGATTCAGGTGTGCTTTCAAGGCTCTTAACAACTTGTCTGCCTGTAGAAAGAACAGCTAGCTCATCATTACGGTCAAAGTCAAATAAGTAAGAAAGCTATGCCAAACACCTCTTTTCTTCTGATTATTGAATGCACTCTGGTCAGCCTGGCAGACTAGAATGGTAGCTTGGGTAGAAATGAATTTCATACCCCAGTGGCAAAGTCAGTAAAGAAAAAGACATAGTACAATACAGTGAGGTAGGTATGTGAGAGAGCTCTGGCTGAGGTGGGCTCCACAGGACAGACGTCAGCAGGTGATGGGATGTCCCAGCTTTAAGACAGATGTCCTGGCTGGGGCTACTGAGATCTTGCAAATGGAGAAGAGGTTCAATCACACAGAACAAGATAGAGAAAACACAAGTGGAAGGAAATAGGACGAATGATGAACTGAGTTCAGCATAGCTAAAGCACAACTAATGGAGAGGAGGCTGAGAAAAGGCTGGGAAAGTAGTCAAAAGCACGACTTCCCTAGCTGACCTGCCTCATAAGGCTTCTTGAGTATAAACTTCATCCTTGCAGCAGAGAGCAGTCTCTGGAGAGTTGGCATCAGGGCAGTGGCTAAGACCAACTGGATGCTTAGGAAAGCAGAACTGTGGCCTGAAATGTAAAGACTGGTGCAAACCTTCTCAGTGAGTCAATCAGCAGGAATATCTAGTTGACTAGAGAAATGTTTTGGGCCCAGTTTCTCTTGTGGGCATGCAATGAGGGTCTTATATGTCCCTGGGAAAGAGAGAACTCCTGGCTCAATTTCTATCCTAGGAAAGCTTCCCTCATTCTTTCCGGGAAGAGAAATACTATTCTGACTGGCTTTCCTTTTTTAAAAGAGCAAATGTAGTCAGGCTTAGCAATCCCCTTAGATTTCCAGGCCAGAATGATATCCTATTGTAAAACAATCAAAAATCAAGTTAGATTCTTTTTTCCCCGTTACACACAGCTACACATTTGAGGGCCAAGACTCTTTGAAAAATGATAATTTTATTTATTTATTTTTAATTTTAGGGGCTTAGAGAGATAGCTCAGGAGTTAAGAGCACTAGCTGCTCTTCCAGAAGACCCGAGTTCAATTCCTAGCAACCACATGGCAGCTCACAATCTGATGCCTTCTTTTGGTCTGCAGGCATACACATAGACAAAGCACCTTTATATACATTGAAAAATAAATACAAAATAATTTTTAGCTGGGATAATGATGCATGACTTTAATCCCAGTACTCAGGATAACAGTAAGTTGATCTCTGTTGAGATCTACTGAGACCCTGTCACAAAATGAAATAACAAAATTAACTTTAAACTAATACAGTAACTTCTTTTTAAAGATTTATTTATTTTATGTATGTGAGTACACTCTCTTCAGACACACCAGAAGAGGGCATCATAGGTTTTTGTGTAACTCTGGCTTTTTTGGAACTAGCTCTGCCTTTGCCTACCTCTGCCTCCAGAGTGCTGGGATTAAAGAGATTAATATACATATTAATTCTGGGATTAAGCTACCAGTGACTTAAAAAAAAATTTTTTTTTTGAGACAGTTTGTCTGTATAACAGCACTGGCTACCCTGAACTCACTCTGTAGACCCAGTTGGCCTCAAACTCACAGCTCAAACTCACAGAGAGCTGCTTGCCTCTGCCTCCTAAGTGCTGAGATTAAAGGCATGTGCCACCACTACCTGGTTTAAAAAATGTTTTAATTAAAATATATTTACATAATGCCCTCCCCACCCCATCTCTTTCCTCCAACTTCTCTCCATGTACCCATGTACCTGGCCTTGCTCTTTCTCAAATTCATGGCCTTAAAAAAAATGTTATACATACATGCAACTCTGAGTCTATAAATACAACCTGCTTGCCCCTGCACAAGCTGGAAAAGCCCATCTGTCGTACTTCGCACAAACTCATCTGCAGAGAAGACTTCGGGCTAACACATCATCACTCCTAGTCTCTGGCAACCACCCCAGTGCCCACACAGGGGCTCAGTTTTTGACCATGCATGGACACAATCCCAGCTCCTAGCTGACTCCTCCACTGTGAGATGGGTGAACACACCTGAGATCTGCCTCCTAATGCACCTGCCTTTGTCTACTTTTAATCTGGTCTAATCTGGCCTATATCTGCATAACCAAGGGAGAATTAAAGCCTAGTATTGCTCATGCCATTATTGCTCAGTTTCTTGTATGTATATGATTCCACACACTTCAGATAGGCTCGGTCTCTGAGCTTGCCTCTTTCCTTCTCACACAATTTATCAAATGGCAAAGCATGAAATTTGCTCTGTACTTTTGAGTACAGGAGTTTTGTTGGGGGTGTGGGCCCAAGCCACATGCTTCAACTGTACTAGACTTCTCTGCATGAAGACAGCTATTAATAAATAGTAGTAAATACTACAATGAACCTAAATTTTCCTCTCAAATAGGTAACCAGGTCTTTTTTATTAAGACAGTGTTTCACTATGTAAAGTTGACTGGCCTATAACTCAGCCTGTGGGCCAGGCTGGCCTCAAACTCAGAGAGCTACCTAATCTAGGGCTTAGTTAAGGGTTGACAACCTGAACCATATGCCCAGTCTTGTTTGTTTGACATAGGGCCTTCAATTCATGATCCTCCTATCTCTGCCTCCCCAGTGCTGGGATTATAGGTCAGGCATACCAAAATTATAAACAATTTCTTTTCTTTCTCTTTTTTGTGTTTGTTTGTTTCAAAACCATATCTCACATTGTGACTCTGGTGTTTCTGGAACTCACTATGTAGACCAGATTGGCTTCAAAATTATGATTTGAGATTCACCTGTCTCTGCCTTCTCTCCCTAGTGCTGGGATTAAAGGCCTGTGCCACCATGCTCAGATAGATGCAAATTCTTATTTGTATGTGAGTCTGTGTGTGTGCACGTGTGTGTGCCACAGTGCAGGTGTGGAGTTCAGTGGACAATTTTGTACAGTTAATTCTCTTCTTCCACTAAGTGGGGTCAAAATGCCAGGCTTGTATATCAAACACCTATCCAATGAGTCATCTCACTCCCTGACTAGGATATGGTTTCTTAACATACTCTCCCCGAGGATGCAACAATGAGAAGTGAGGTTTCTGAGGTAGAAACAAATGAAGACATTTAGCAGGTCAAATAAAATGGGATGAAGTTCAAGTTGAATTAACAAGTGTAATTCATTAGCATTAATTTATCGACTGAATAACTGTTCTAGGAGCTAGAGAGACCGGTGAACAAAGCACACAAGCCTTCTGTTGGAAGCTCTCAGTGGACTAATCGGAAAAAGAGTTTATAAAACAAGTAAGCTAGAAATAAAGAACACATCAGAGGCTATGAAGCAAAACCCAAATTAAGTAATTGAGGTAGGATAGGTGCTCGGTTAAGATGGTGATCAGCTGAGATGCAAATGAGATCAGAGGCAACGGTGCAGTCTGATAAACAAAAGGCCAGAGGTGGAGGTACAAGCCTATATACAGTCCCAGCATAAGTTTCAGCCTACTCTAAGCTATATACTGTTTTCCAGGATAGCAAGGGCAGTATAATGAGACTTTGTTTCATAAAAAGGAGGAGGAAGAGGAGGAAGATGGATAGAAGAAGAAGGAGGAGGAAGAAGAGGAGAAGACAAAGAAGAGGAGGAAGAAGAAGAGGAGAAGGAAGAGAAGGAGGAATCATCCATCCAGATAGCAAAAACCTGAAGGACTAAGCTTTATTCACTAAACTCAGAAACATTTCCAAGTACTCTTTACTGCCACTCAGCCAGATAAAAGGTGTATCTATGGCCTCATTATTCTGTTTAAAGCACTTAAAAACATTTGTGACAACTGATTAGACATTTAGTGCAAATATCTGGCATATACATGTGGGAAATCTCAGCTCCAATATAGCAAGCCCAACCTCACAATGAATCCCCACATTTTCTCTGAACACCTTGCAAACTCAGGATTCAAACACCTTATCAGTTTTGAAAAAGACCACCATCACAATAGTGGTTAATGTATAGACAATCATACTAGATCTCGGTGGACAGGCATCCCATTAAAGGCTCGTGAGAGTGAAGGTACTGCCACAGTTTACTGAACACTAAGTAGTAGTTTGGGAGTTTTTCAGAAGTAGTAGTTTCAAGTAGTTTTTCTTCAACTGCCTAATACCTGGCATAGAAATTACATTGACTATGTCCTATGGGCCTTCGTTTCTCATCTGGTACTAGGGAGTATCATTAGCATTTTTATTAAGAGGCCTTTATGAGTTCTTGGAAAAAGCCTCCAAATAAAGTAACAGCCAGGCCTTTCTTTCGTTTAACAAATTCCAGTCACTGAGAACAAAATCTACCTACTTGTCCAAAAACAGTGTCCCTCAGGGGTTCCCTCTCAGTTATTTCGCGCCCTGTCCCCCCAATCCCTGGTCTCTTCTACCCAGACCACCCAACTGCCCGCACCACCAGCTAGCACCGTACCCTCAGATTAGCCCGGAGGCCCAGCCTTTTGGCTAAATTTTGCAGGTCGCTGTACTTGAAGGAGTCCAGCTCCTCTGCAGAGGGGATGGTCATCGCGTTCTGCAATCACGGTAATACCCAGGAAAAACAGCCACACAACTCAAAACAGCACCGTTCAAAACTGGCGCCACCCGAGACGTTGACAAGCTGACTTTTATACTCAGTTTAAATGACGAATGCTGTACGTCCATTGGTTGAGCTGCTTCGAGGGTGGGGTTTCCAATGCAGCCAGTAGCGTGACTGGTTGAAGACAGCTATTCGGCAAACCTAACTAATCGCAGGCGCTGAGAGTATTGTGGGCGTGTCTTACAGGAATATTGTCCAATGAAGATGCAGGAAACCAGTTGGGCGGGACCTGGGGCGTGCGTGAAGGAGGCGCGAGCTTCAAAAAATGGCGACTCGCTCGCGCCGCCGTCCGCCTGTCTTCGAGAGCCAGTCCTGTAGTGGTTCTTGTGACACACCTTTTTCTTCTTCCATAGAATGGGACACTCAGGTGGTGAAAGGGTTCTCCCTTCTCGACTCCTCCGGGTCTAAGTTGAAGGCGTCATCTGTCGACCTGCGGCTGCCTCCGTGGTTGGAGCCGGAGAGATGTGCCGTGTTTCACTGCGCACGTTGCTTCGCGGTGCTCGGTGACACCGTGCACCTCGCCTGGGACCTGTCGAAGTCCCTCGGCGCCCTGGCCTTCTCCAGTGAGTAAGGCGAGGGTTGGCGTCTGAGGAAGGCCGACCAGAGCCAGATGCGGGACGTGGGAGGGTACCTGAGCAGGGGGAAGGAGGCGTGGTTTTGTTTTCCCCGAGTCGGGCTTCAAACGAGGGACCTGGTCCGAGCTGAGCCAGCGCCCTTGGCTGAGCCCCACCCGTTTTGTTAACTTTACGGGCAGATGAATCTGATGGGGGAGGCATTTCTTTTCAAAACCGGTTTGTCTTCCAGGAGTCACAAACAACGTCGTTTTGTTAGAGCCCTTTTTGGTTGGCATAGAAGGTTCTCTCAAATCCAGGTATGTGTGGAGAATTCCTGAGGTGGATCTCTCTCTATATATATAGTTCCTAATTTAATGACAGTGAAGAGTCCGTAGCTGTATTTTTTGTTTTGTTTTGTTTTTGCTTTTTGTTTTTTTTTGAGTCAGGGTTTCTCTGTGTAGCCCTGGCTGTCCTGGAACTCACTCTGTAGACCAGGCTGGCCTCGAACTCAGAAATCTGCCTGCCTCTGCCTCTCAAGTGCTGGAATTAAAGGCGTGCGCCACCTCTGCCCTGCCCGTATCTGTTTTAAAAGAGAAAGAAACTTTGTGTTGTGACATGTTTACTCTCTCCATAAACTCTTTACCCGTTTGAATCATATTAACATGACATTAATGAAAGTTAAAGTTGGGTGTAGGTTCTAAGGTCTGTGAAATAACTAGGACTATTTAATTTAACTTGGAGTCTATAATATAAATATATAAACATAATATAAATCATGACAAGACTAATTCTGTAGTAATCTACAGTAAACTCTGCATCTCTGTTTGCTAATATTTTTTCCTATAGCAATAAACTACTACGTGAACTCGGGCTTAGAGTGAGGCCAAACTAAGTTGTAGCCATACCTCCATTTAACTTTGCTGATCTAAAGACACATTCCTATCCTTATAGAAGTTCCTTCTCTCAAAGGGGCCAAGGTAGGAGTGGTCTATTTCCATTAAAGTTGTTTGGAGCAAGAGGCAGAGGTACTCATAACTGATGTAGAGAGACACATGTGTCCAGTACTGTAACCACTGTCAGCTGTAATGGACCATTAGGCTGTGGACATTGTTGAATTGAGAATATTTTGAATTCATACAGTATTTCAGAAGCATGTAGGGTAAGGGTTGAGATAGGCTCTCTTACTCAGTACCCTTACTAGCCAGGGCTCATTGTGTCACCCATGCTGGCCTAAAGCTTGTGGGGATCCTCCTACATTTAAAACTTTTTGTGTGTGTGACTATGTCTGTGTATGGGGTGGGAGCATGCATATGTAGGTCCAGCGGTAACTGGAAGCAGTCTTTCCTTCACCATGCTGAATCGAAGGGTTACACACAGTTTCTCAGGGATGGTACCAAATCCCTTTACCCACTGAGTCATTTCACAGGCCCTGAAGTGACATTTGTGATATAGTTACATCACAAATTATTTTACTTTTGATATTGGTAATACAGGTTTTGCCTTGACTTTAACACTTCTGCCTCTGCCTACAAGTGTTGGGATCACAAGCTTGGGAACCTATACCCAACCTCTTTTTTAAAAGCCTGATAAAAAAATTTTAATTATAAGTCTGGTGGTGATAACACATACTTTTAATCCATGCACTAGGGAAGCAGAGGCAGGAGGATCTCTGTGAGTTCAGGGACAGCCTAGTCTACAGAGCTAGTTCCAGGACAGCTAAGGCTACATAAAGAAACCGTGTTTGAAAAACCAAACAAACAAGCAAAAATTTAATTATACATTTGGAGATGTGATATAGCTCAGAAGGACAATGTTTGCCTATCCTGTATGAGGTGCTAGAGTTGATCTATAAATACTTCAAGAAAAACGCATACAAAAATAGAGTTAGATTTCAGTTCCACATTATAATCTGAAAATAGTTTTATTACATTTATTTAGTGTATGTATTGTGTAGTCACATACCAGGTACACATATGAAGGTGAGAGGACACCTTTGAGGAGTCCAGTCCCAGGATCACACTCAGATTGTCAAGCTTGGTTGCAGGAACCTTTCCCTGCTAAGCTGTTAATCCAGTCCTGACTCCCTCGCTGGGTTCCTCTGCTTGTGTGTATTCTTATTGAGGTAAATGGTCGTTTTACTAGTAAACTTGAGGTCTTGAGATACCTTTTTTACTATCTTTGAACTCCATACTTGATTATTAGTTAGTGTTGTATGTGGCACAACACTTATTATAAATTATTTCAAAAAGTGTTTTTGGATTACGATCTATTGGTAATTAAAGCTTTGGCCAGGCATGGTGGTGCCTTTAAGCCCAGCACTCAAGAAAATGAGTGAGAGTGGAGGAAAATCTTTATTCCACTCCACTGCCTGATATTATGTCCTGTTTTCCAGACTGACAGACTATTATAATGAATACAAATTAAAATCAAATTGACCTTGTTCTATATAACAAGATGGAGAAACCATTGTATTTGTTTATATATTAGAACTAACTGCCCTTCAGTGTTCATGATCCAGTGGCCTAGCAAGCTAAATAATGCTAACAAAATCTAAGAGAGCAAAACACCCAAAACATCTTAAGTAAATTACGGTAGTAAATTTCTTTATGAGGTAGGGAGCTATGAGCTACATAAGTAGTCAGAGAGAGTACCAAAATTAGTTTTGAGGTTTTTTTGTTTTGTTTTGAAGGTTTCAGTTTTTTTTTTTGTCATGAATTATGTTCTTTGGGTTTTTTTTTGGGGGGTGGGAGGTTGTCTTTTTGGTTTTTCTAGACAGGGTTTCTCTGTGTAGCCCTGGCTGTCCTGGAACTCACTCTGTAGACCAGGCTGGCCTCGAACTCAGAAATCCGCCTGCCTCTGCCTCCCAAGTGCTGGGATTAAAGGCGTGCGCCACCACCACCCGGCTTTTTTTTTTTTTTTTCCTTTGAAACAAGAGTCTTATATGGCCCAGGCTGTGCTTGGGGACCAATGAACTTGATGAAGTCCATCCAGGTCCTTGAACTTGAGTTCCTTCTGCCTATGCTTCTGAGTGTAAGGGTGTAACAGATACCGCCACTATACCTGATGAGGGTGGTTATTTTTTTATTTCTTTTCTAGCTTTTCATTATTTTATATTCTGCTTCTTTCCTTTCCCACCAGCACATACAACCTTTTATTCTGTAATTCCTGTGAGACTCCTGTTGGTTTCCATTTATATTCTACCCATGCTGCTCTGGCTGCCTTGAGAGGCCATTTCTGCCTTTCTTGTGATAAAATACTGTGGTGAGTAGAGACATCACTTATTAAATAAGGTTTTTAAAAGATTCTAGGGAAGTTCAGGTGTTTATAAGCAAAGAAGATGCAAAGGCCAGACATTATTTATTATATATATACCTGCAATAAGGACAAAACATAATCCTAAAATAAATATTGTATTACTTTAGATGGTTTATTGTACTGTCTTTTTTTTTTTTTTTTTTTTTGTTTGTTTGTTTTTCAAGACAGGGTTTCTCTGTGTAGCCCTGGCTGTCCTGGAACTCACTCTGTAGACCAGGCTGGCCTCGAACTCAGAAATCTGCCTGCCTCTGCCTCCCAAGTGCTGGGATTGTACTGTGTCTTAATATGGACTACTTTAAGAGTGTTTTTTCCTTAAGGAAAATTCTGGAAGGTATGCTTTTGCAAAATAGTGTCATCATAGATATCATAGATAACTTGGAGACACTATCTCTGTGTGTGTGTGTGTGTGTGTGTGTGTGTGTGTGTGTGTGTGTATCAGATTTTCTACCCCAGGAGTTTGAAATAAGGCCTATGTTGGTTACTTGTCTCATGACAAGACAAAATACCCAACAAAAGCAACCCCAGGAAAGGAGGGCTTCTTGTAGATCACAGTTAGAAGGTACAGTCCATCATGGTGGGAAGTCCACGGAGGAGATGGCTGGTCATATTGTATCAGCAGTCAGAGAGCAGAGACACATGCTAGTGCTCAGGTTGCTTTCTCTCAATTTTTTTTTTTATAGGTTTCGTGTTGTTTTTTCCAGACAGGGTTTCTCTGTGTAATAGTCCTGGCTGCTTGGACTTGCTTTTTAGACCAGGCTGGCCTCGAACTCACAGAGCACTGCCTGTTTCTGGAGTGCTAGGATTAATGGTGTGTGCCATTGCTCCTGTTCTCTTTGTCCTCCTGACCTCCTCTCTGTCTCTATGGGTTTTTCCTATGTTTACTTTCTGTCACCTGGTTGCTTGTTGTACCTCTTGACCTACAGTTACTTTATTCAATTTTGCTTACAATAAAGAGCTTTCAGATTAAAGTTGTGTGCTAGGGCTGAGCCACACCACAGCTAGAAACAGGTTTTTTCCAGTATACAGTTTTTGTGTTCACAGTGTGATCTAATATCCTGAAACAATCTTTCTAACTAATTAAACATTTAACTTAGGTATTTTATTACAAGAAACTGAAAGAATGGAGAAATGGGGCTGGAGAGATGGCTCAGCTGTTAAAGGCTAGGTTCACAACCAAAAATATAAGAGTTTGGTTCCCAGCACCCACGGCTGTCTCTCCAGCCACAAAACAAAACAAAAACAAACAAACAAAAGAATGGAGAAATGGCTCAGCAGTTAAGATTACTTAGCTAGACATGGTGAAGTTCAAAGCCAGCCCAGTCTACAAAGGGAAATGCTGTTTTGAAAAACAAACAAACAATAATATAGATACTAACATGTTTTAATGTACTTAGATGTTTGTAGTGATCTATGGGTGCCAAAACACCATTTATAAGGAAAGTCACCTTTAACTATGAGACCATTCAGTGAACAATTAGCTTTTCCAATTACTCATGCAATTTCCAACAGGGCTCCATTATACTTCAGTAATATATTGTAAGTTTCTACTTTCTTTTTTTCCATGTTTTCATTTGTTTTTGTTCGTTGTTGCTTTTTTGCTTGTTTGCTTTGAGTGGGGTCTGGGTCTGGCTCTTTTGCCTGGCTGGTATAAAATTACTGTGTATATGTAAAGAGACCCATTCATTCTATAAATTCTGTTTCTCTAGAGAATCTTGATGAATTCAAGACATAAACGATAATGCCTGGCTTCTTTTTTCCCCTAAGTTATTGTCATTTAGAATTATATATAAAAAGAAAACAAAACTGTAAGTATTAAAAAGCATCCTCTTATTTTTTTTTCTTTTTTTCTTTGTTTTGTTTTGTTTTGTTTTATTTTGAGACAGGGTCTCTCTATATCCATGCCTGACCTAGAACTCACTTCCTAGTCCTGGCTAGCCTTGAATACAGAGGATCCGGCTGCCATTGCCTTCAAAGTGATGGGATCAAGGCATGCACCATTATGCCTGGCTTATTGAAAATTTCTATTTTTTCTTTCTTTCTTTCTTTCTTTCTTTCTTTCTTTCTTTCTTTCTTTCTTTCTTTCCTTCCTTCTTTCTTTCTTTCTTTCTTTCTTTCTTTCTTTCTTTCTTTCTTTCTTTTTTTTTTGTTTTTCGAGACAGGGTTTCTCTGTATAGTCCTGGCTGTCCTGGAACTCACTCTGTAGACCAGGCTGGCCTCGAACTCAGAAATCCACCTGCCTCTGCCTCCCAAGTGCTGGGATTGAAGGCATGCGCCACCACTGCCCGGCTTATTGAAAATTTTTTACCAGTGATGCTTATTCATCTGATTCTGGATCTGTCTTTACTTTTTCCTGAGACAGTTTTGTTACTAAAAATGAGAAAGGTTCAGGCAGAGTTTATGGTTTTAATTGAGATTTTTTTTTTCCCCCCAGAAAAATACACTATGCTGCTTCAAGCCGTAAGGAAGGTTTTGCTCAACAGGTATTTTAGAGGGCAAATTTGGTAATGGTACTAATATTTTCTCTATATATTTTCTCTCTAGCTATCTGTTAAAAACAAAGGCCATAATAAATACATCTGAAATGGATATTCACAATGTACATTTACCAGAAAAGATTGCAGAGGTAAAAATTTGGTTGTGTAGTTACTTTTTTTTTTGTTTTTTGTTTTTCGAGACAAGGTTTCTCTGTATAGGCCTGGCTGTCCTGGAACTCACTCTGTAGACCAGGCTGGCCTCGAACTCAGAAATCCGCCTGTCTCTGCCTCCCAAGTGTTGGGATTAAAGGCATGGTCCCCCACCGCCCGGCATGTAGTTACTCATATACACATCATTTTCATTTTGGGTTGGGTTTTCCTTTTTGAAGACAGGATTTGTAATTGTGACTTGCCTCATATTAACTATGTAGACCAGGCTGTCCTGGAACTAGGCTATATCCTTTCCCTTAATATAGGCAATGTTTAAGTGTGCTTTGTTTTGGTTTTAGATTTATTTTTAAGTCTAGTAACAATATAAGCAGCAAATCCATCGTTATAAGATGCCCTCAATCTATGTCTCTCCTCAGCTGAAAGAGAAGATAGTGCTAATGCATACTCGTTTAAACTCACTGATGAAGGTTCTGAAGGAAGAGACTCCTCACCAGTCTCACCAAGAAAACTGAACAAACAAGGTAGAGTACAGAACTTCTTCAACAACTGGGGTGCCTTGGTCATTGCTTCTCTCTCTCTCTCTCTCTCTCTCTCTCTCTCTCTCTCTCTCTCTCTCTCTGTCTCTCTGTCTCTGTGTGTGTGTGTGTGTCTGTGTGTCTGTGTTTGTCTGTCTGTCTGTCACATGTGTGCTGTTGCTCATGGAGGCCCGAAGAGGGCATGAGATTCACTGTAGCTGGAGTTATAGGCAGTTGTTGAGAGCTGGGAACTAAACTCTGCAAAAGCTGGAAGTACTCTTAACACTGATCCATGATCCATCTCTCTAGTCCCCATTGGTCTTTTTGTTTTTCTTTTTCTTTTGGCGGGGGTGAGGATATTTTGGTTTTGAGACAGGGTCTCACTATGTATTTCTAGCTGTCCTCGAACTCACAGGGAACTTCCTGCCCCACCAGAGTACTGGGATTAAAGGCATGTGCCACCATGCCCTCTTGGTCTTTATTTTTTAAATAGTACTAAAAACAGAGGCCTGTCAGATCTGCTAACACATGCCTGTGATCCCAGCACTTAAAATATAGGAAGGAAGATCATAAGTTTAAAGCAATCCTTAGCTATGTTACAAATTTGAGGCCACCCTACAGTTAATAAGAACTTGTTACACAATCTGTACTCCTCGGCACAACAATTGTTTGAGAATATGCCTTTGAGCCTATGTCCCCAGCTCATCAGCCCACTCCTGCTTTGGGGAGTATTTTTATTTTCATAATAAGCTGTGACTGTAATAACATTTATTTGCCAGATGTAACTGTCTTCTCCAAGGCTTACTGCCTCCATGTGCTAACCTAGGCTTAGTCCTGGAAGCTTCTAGACTCTGTACAATCTTACCTAGATCTAGAATGTTTTTCGCCTCTGAGATTTACTGCTGAATAAACTCACCCTTTCTAGTTTTTTCTGAACTCTGGCTAGCTGGCCAATTCAGCTGTTCTGGCTTAAACACCTCACCATGCTGACTGATTCACTCTAGCTTCTCTCAGCTTCTGAATTATTGTGCTTGACTTCATACTAACTTCAGCAATATGTTCTAATCTTCTGGCTCCTTCTCATTTTTTGGCTTTTTCAGTCTTTACCTATGTTTAGCTTGTTCTTTCTTCAACCTGTCTCTGTAAAACTCTGCTGGTAAAACTACATCTTTTCGTTTCTCTCTGCACTGCCCCTTAAGTAGCTTCCTTTTCCTCTCTCTTCTCATTAGAGTTGGGCATGTTCTGTTCTGTCAAGTCTTTCTCTGATTTGTCAGTTTGTCTGCCACTCAATCAGACGTGACTTTCTAACATGGGTGCTTCCTTCTCCCTTCCTTCCTTCCTTCCTTCCTTCCTTCCTCCCTCCCTCCCTTTCTTTCTTTCTTTCTTTCTTTCTTTCTTTCTTTCTTTCTTTCTTTCTTTCTTTCTTTCTTTCTTTTTTTGGTTTTTCAAGACAGGGTTTCTCTGTGTAGCCCTGGGTGTCTTGGAACTCATTCTGTAGACCAGGCTAGCCTTGAACTCTCCAACTCAGAAATCCACCTGCCTCTGCCTCCCAAGTGCTGGGATTAAAGGCGTGCGCCACCACCGCCCAGCGGGTGCTTCTTTCTATAAAATAATTTTACCTTCATTGTTTGGGATTAAAGGTGTGTACTAAGGTAAGGGGGTGCCTGTATGTTGTATTCTAGCCAGAGGGAATAAAGGTGTGTGTGTGTGTGTGTGTGTGTGTGTGCGTGCACGTGTGCTGAACCAAACCACAATTAGAAACAGGTTTTTTTTGTTTTTTTTTTCAGGAAACAACACAATCTTGGGTTTCACAGCATGAGCAAAGATCCTGCAACATGTGACTCTATAGTTCTTTAAATTTATTTTAGTATGTTGATAACATAATGCCTATCTCTGAAAATGTATTTCATTACTAATAACCAATTAGCATTCAGTGTCCCTTGTGTCCACTGATGAAGAAATGAAGAGTTGGCCAGGATGAAGAGATGGAGTTAATAGTGACGATACTTTTACATGCCAGTTATATGAATACTGATAAATACTTGTTTGTTTTGAGACAGGGTCTTTCTCTCTAGCTTTGGCTGTCCTGGAACTTTCTGTGTAGACCAGGGTAGCCTTAAACTTACAGAAGTCCACCTGCCTCTGCTTCCTCTGCTAGGATTAAAGAAGAATGTCACAGAGAATTCATTTTTGCTTATGTAAAATAGATATGTACATTTGATGGTGGTGGTTCCTGCCTTTAATACCAAGACTCTGGAGGCAGAAATGGGAGGATCTCTCAATTCAAGGCTAGGCTGGTCTACAGAGTGGAACAAAACAACAACAACATAAAATATATATGTAATAAGTAACAGTTAATAAATTGAATGTATTGTACTATAAAGAATTTGTGGTTTTTTGCTGTTGTTGGTTTTTTTTTAAGATGTATTTGTTTATTTACATTAGTACATTGCAGCTGTCTCAGACACACACCAGAAGAGGGCATTGGATCACATTACAGATGGTTGTAAGCCACCATGTGGTTGCTGGGAATTGAACTCAGGACCTCTGTGTAATCCCCACTTTGAAACATGTTATGTAGCCGGGCGGTGGTGGCGCACGCCTTTAATCCCAACACTTGGGAGGCAGAGGCAGGTGGATTTCTGAGTTCGAGGCCAGCCTGGTCTACAGAGTGAGTTCCAGGACAGCCAGGGCTACAACAGAGAAACCCTGTCTCGGAAAACAAAAAACAAAAAACAAACAAACAAAAAGAAACATATTATGTGGGCCAGGCTGGTCTTGAACAGAAATCCACCTGCCTTTGCTTCCTAGATTTTGAGATTAACGATGTGCACAATGCTTCTGTTGGGCCTGCAGAGGCTGTCAGATTCCCCTGGAACTGGAATTATAGGCAGTTAAGGGTGTTGGAAACTGAACCCTAGTTCTCTAAAATAACAGTAAGTATACTTACCTACTGAGCCATCTCTCCAGCCTCACAGACTGGGACCTAATAAATTAATAATACTTTGAATAATTTTTGAGATAGTATCTTTCTCTGTAGCCCAGACTGGCCTCCAATGTGGCAGTTCTACCTCAGCCTCCTGAGTGCTTAGTGGGCAACCATCCCCGACTGTGGATTTTCAAAACATATATTTACCTTAACATTAACAGACTTACTTTATCAAAGTTTAAAAACTGTTATGTCAGGCCAGAGAGATGGCTCAGTGGTTAAGAGCACTGATTGCTCTTCCAGAGGTCCTGAGTTCAGTTCCCAGTAGCCACATGGTGGCTCACAACCATCTGTAATGAGATCTGATGCCCTCTTCTGGTGTGTCTAACAGCTACAGTGTACTCATATAAATAAAATAAATTTAAAAAAAAAGGTTATGTCACTGTGTGTATGTTACTAGGGTTACGTTATGTCACTGTGTGTATGTTACTAGGGCCTCATACATAGAAGGTTAAGGCTCTACTACTTAGCTACGTCTCATCTAATAACTGTTTTTCTTAACTTCTGGATTTGCCATTTTGGATGAGACTTTCTATAGAAAATTAAGTCCTTGAGCCTGACTTAGATAAGCTGGGCAGCATGTGTATGTATGTTAAGATATTTATGTGTGTGTCCAGTAAATATTTTGTAGCAAATACTGCCCTTAAAAATAATAGTGCATGCCGGGCAGTGGTGGCGCACGCCTTTAATCCCAGCACTTGGGAGGCAGAGGCAGGCAGATTTCTGAGTTCAAGAGTTCGAGGCTAGCCTGGTCTACAGAGTGAGTTCCAGGACAGCCAGGGCTACAGAGAAACGCTGTCTCGAAAAAAAAAAAATAATAAATAGTGCATGTGGGAGTCGGAGAGCAACTAGCAGGCATCAGTTGTGTCCTGCATTGTGAGTCCAGAGGACTGAACTAAGATCATCAGGCTGGTAGTTCAGGTCCTTTAATTGCTCAAGTAGCTCACTGTCACTTCCTTTTTTATTTCTAAATTAGGTATTTTTTCTTTTTAAATTGCATCTGTGTGTGGGCACAAGTTTGTCATGCCTCACATATGGCATCATTGGCTTAGTGGCTAAGTCCTCTACTTCCACTTCCTAAGACATCTCACTGGGATCCACTTCCATTTTTGAGGAGCATAATATAACATGCTAGTAATTGAGCAAATTTTAGAAGTAAACCATTTAGATTCAGACCATTGTCCACTTATTAATAGTCATGAACTTGAAGAATTAATTAAAACTGTTCTGGAGGCAGAGACAGGCGGATTTCTGAGTTCGAGGCCAGCCTGGTCTACAGAATGAGTTCCAGGACAGCCAGGGCTACACAGAGAAACCCTGTCTCGAAAAACCAAAAAAAAAAAGAAAGAAAAAAGAAAATAGAAGTGTTTATACAGAACCCTGAACACAGGAAAGTTTCTTAAGCATTAATCATTTGAAGATGACAGTATTTTAAAATACAGAATTTCAACTAAGACAACAGAGTAAAAAACTGAGCCAAAGCAGAAACACAACATACACAACAAAAGTCCAAAAATACAGAAGCTATAAAACAACTGCAACATATCAGAAAAACCCACTTACAAACTGGCAAAGTATTTTTGCAAGCATTTTAGAGAAGACACTGGGCCAAGGGATATGGCTCAGATTGAGTACTTGCATTGTGTGCCTATAAAAGCCCTCAGACTACAGAAAAAAAGTCTAAGGCTTGAGAAGTGTTATCTAAGTTCACTAACAACCAAGCTGGTGAAAATGAAAACTTACGATGTAAAGACGAGGAGGAGGGGCCCTGTAAACTACTTGTACACATAATACCTTGGTACAACTATAGGCTGGTCTGGCATTGTATGTGGAAACTCAAGACATCAACGGCTACTGCAGGTCAGGAACTCTAGGCACCTGTGCTAAAGAGAAGCAGCAGATGTACACCAATGTTTGCACAAAAGGCTTATAGTTACATTATTTGTAACAGACAAAACTCCTGAGTCATGTTCCTGCAAGAACTGGGTCATGATGGGAGGAACACCAT